TTTTAATACCTGTGGTCATGGTTTCATATCTGTAAATATTGTCGTCAGAGTATATTAGTTTTAGTAGTTCATTGTGTCTGTCCAGAATTGAGAAATTGATCCCTACATTTAGAGCTTTAGATTTTCTACTTTTAAAGGCAGTCTTGCAGTGACATGTCCTCTGTGCTGTTCTGAAGTTCCTTCAAGACCTGTTCCTGACATCCAGAATGTAGGAAAGCAGAGTAGCATTCATTGAGATTGACAGGTGCCAGCAGCAGTGGGCAGCTCTGCCCTGTCTCAGCCCACTGCTTTTCTTCAGCAACTCTGCAGAATAAGTCTTGTTGCTGGGCTGCTTTTAGGAGGGCATATTAGGGAAGAAAGCGTTGAGAACCTGCCTATGTGCTCAGCTAATAGATGGTGGTCCTGAGGCTTGAGCCCCAGCTTGCTTTTGATGTGCTCAGCTAATAGATGGTGGTCCTGAGGCTTGAGCCCCAGCTTGCTGATACCAGAGCTGTGCTCTCAAAGTAGAGGTGGTTAATTAGAAGAGGCTTTGACAATGAATGAGGGAATGAGCAAAATCAGGGAGAGGGCATTCTAGACTTGTTGTTGGGTCAGTGTGAGCCCGAGTCAGTGGTAAGATGCCTCAGGCACAGGGGGAGGTTGAGTGCATCAGCCTGGTTGGAGCAAAATCTCAGGAGGATGAGGCTGGAAATATTCAAAAAGGATTCCCTGGGGGAATTTCTAGTGAAGGTATTTAGTACGAAATTAAGCTCCAGGCAAGGAGGTAGTGCACAAAGATAGGATTTAGGAATGCTAACATAAAGGAAAGCAGTAAGAATGTCCTTTCTCATGGGTATCTTTTTGTAGTTTAATTAATAATTGCACTAGAAAGATGACTCAGCAGTAAAGAGGCACTGAGTTTAGTTCCTGACACCCACATTGGGTGGCTCACAACTCCTAGAAACTCCAGCCACAGGGACCCCAGAGCTTTCACATGCACAAGCACAGGCATTCACGTAATTCAAAACAATAAAGTTAATAGCTGGCTGGTGGTGGTGCACCCCTTTTATGGGCTACAGAGTGAGTTCCAGGACAGCCACAGCTACACAGAGAAAACCTGTATCAAAAACCAAATAAGCAAAATAATAAAGTTAAGTCATAAAAAAAAATGAAATACTGTATGGGCAATTTTTATGGTTTTGTACAGCAGCTCAAGATGTAATTAAAATGGCAGAATTAATGAAAGTTGGACCATTTCAAGCTGCTAGGTGAGGGGGAGTAGGGATGGAATCGGTTCTGTGTAGTGAAGGGAGCTGACCCTCTAATGTGTTGACCATGCTTGAGTATAGGATCCCGTTTTGCATTTATGTGGACATGTGGAAAGGGAACACTAATTCTGGAGCAAAACTTTGACTCTTGTTCTGTGTGGTCTCTTTTAGGCTGGATTCATCTCATCGTTAGTGTAGTATCGTTCCTGTTTTTCACAGACATGCTGATCTACTGGATTCACAGAGGCCTGCACCATAGACTGTTCTACAAGGTAGACTCATTTAAAGGGGAGAGAAAGGGAAAGATATCACACATCTCAGTATTATAAAGTCTGTACTCTAGAGTCTAAGACTTTTTCTTGTTGGTATTAAATGCCCAAGAAGCTCTCTGGTCATCACTCATCACAGGGCCTGTACGTATTTTATTTATAGTTTTCTTTGTGGGTCTGGAGGGCCTGTCTTACAGGTCTAACCTTGGGGGTGAAGAAGGGCATATCTGTACCAGGAGGGGAAGCTAAGTTTGCCTATGGCTCTAACCATATCCTTTTCCTCCTCAGCGCATACATAAGCCGCATCATATTTGGAAGATCCCCACTCCATTTGCAAGTCATGCTTTTCACCCTGTGGATGGCTTCCTCCAGAGTCTCCCTTACCATATATACCCCTTTGTCTTTCCACTACACAAGGTTGTCTACTTAGGTTTATATGTCTTGGTTAATGTCTGGACCATTTCTATTCACGACGGTGATTTTCGTGTCCCCCAGATGTTAAGGCCATATATTAATGGGTCAGCTCATCACACAGACCACCACATGTTTTTTGACTATAACTATGGACAGTATTTCACATTGTGGGATAGAATTGGAGGCTCTTTTAAAAATCCTTCTTCCTTTGAAGGGAAAGGCCCACTTAGTTATGTGAGGAAGATGGCAGAAGGAGAATTCAACAGCCTAGCAGAAAATGGCTGTAAAAATGAAAAATTGTGCAATGGAGAGTTTACAAAGACTAAGTAGATTATTGCCCAATTATTAAATATTTTAAATAAGGAAATAATCTACACACAGCCAAGATACATAGCAACTAAGTGGTGTCATTTGAATGTCAGCATTGTGTGTCATGCTGAAGAGTAGTCCTGACGATAAACTGAGGGAAAATGCTGGGAGCACCAAGATTGTAATCTCATGGCTAATGTGTCAGACATTGGTCCAGGGACAACTTGTATCTTTGCAACCAGCAGATCTGCAGCCTGTACAGCCCCAATAAGAACTTTAAATAAGATAGAAGATAAGCTATGGAAGAAGCTGGTCTGTGTCCTTTTGCCTTAATCCACTCATATTCATTAAGGGGGAAAAAAAATCCATTGTGCTTAACAATACTGAGACTAGCCAAGAAATACTAATATGAAGATGGCTCCTTTCTGGGAGTGGCTGGCTCTGCAATAGTGGTGGAGGACTTGCAGGACTTTGTTCAACTAGGAACATCAGCCTGAACAATCTAATACATGAGTGGCTATGTATATGATTTACATAATGGCTGGTTAATAAAACTATATTATCTTCTTATACATAGGCGCCTTACTCTCTGGGGCATTATCAGGTTTTAATAATGAATAAATAAATGATAATTTTTTAAATGTCAGCTCTTCATATTCAATCCAGATATGAGATTGTTTAAAGATCTTGATGCGTGTCATTTAATACTACTGTTTAATAAGCCTATAGACACGAATCTGGATAATACTAGATATAAACTTGGGGCACCTAGGTGGCACATCTCTGTTAAATAAAGTGGATGCACTGTACTTATGCATTTCCAAGTTATAAAGCTGACTTTAAATGAAGGGAATAGTTGCCAAATACTTAAGTCTACCTGAGATACACTTTGAAACCTCATCCTTCATTTCTTCCCTCTCTTCCTACTGCCTTTAAAAAAAAAAAAATACCACAAACACCCCCATGAAGAAAGGTGGGTGTTGTAAAATAAGTATATTGGTGTAAAGATATTTTATTGGCTATTTATGCAAAAAACAATAAACATTGATCATGACTGCTATTAAACACTTAAATGTTATAGCACAAACTATCCTTTATTTAAATTAGTGTCACTGAAGACACAGAGGTTATGTGGGTTGTAAAAGCTGAGAGCATCCCTGACACCCAGGGTTAGACTGCTGGATGTGAGTGTTGCTATAAGGATCTCTCACTCAGCAAATCCTTTTCCATTTACTAGTTGACATTAACAAGTACTCTGGGGAATGGAAATGGGAAATAAAGAGGCTCTGTGTAAGGATCTAGACTTCCTTTTTCCTGGAGGTATAACCCACCCAGGACCTGGGGTTCTGAATCCATAAGCATTACTAAGATAAGGACTGATTGACATGTTGGATGAACCCGATACCCAGCTCGTAGCAGTGTGGTGTGGATACAAAGGAATCCTAAAGATACACTGTTTGATACTACATCAAGAAAGGACAGACCCCTCAAATGGGACATCTCTGTCATCCCTCCTCCCCAAGGCTCAGGGAACATCAAGGAAGAAGCCAAGGCCAGGAAAGAATGTGGTAAGCTTGGACGTGAGGGGCCATTGTGCAACTTTGTCTTTCTGCACACCATCCAACCAGTGAACATTCTGCATGGATGGGGTGAGGTCCCACCTCTGGCTGTGGAGCTGTTGACAGTTGATGGCTGCTAGGAAGGGAGACTCAGTTTGCAGTGGTGCGATCTCTAAGTTGCTTTTGTGCCAGTGGTGGCCCTGTACCTCTGAGGCTAGGGGCAGCTCTAATTGGACTCTGGCTTATACAGAAGGAAAAGAGGATATGAAATTGGGAGAGGGATGGGAGTGTCTGGGAGAAGTTGGGAGTGGGCAAGGTAGAGTGGCTATAATAAAAGTGCATTGTGTATGTGTATGAAATGAAATTTCAGAGACAAACCTGGGAAGTTAATCTTCAGCTTCACCTCAGGAGTTGCTGCTGGAGCCTTGGAGTTAGGATGAGTGAGTGCAGGTGCCCTTTGCAGTTTGCTTTCCCCATTGTATCAGGGATGAGCCACTGCTCCTCAGTAGGGTCAAGGGCAGAGAATGGTGGTCTCTGGTTCCTGACTGCAGTGAGTCCTCATCAGGAGGATGGTGGAGGAGGCCACTTTCCCCTTCCCATTGGGATGTGAAAAGCATCTAGATGAGTTACAGGAATGTATAAATAAGATTAAAAACAAGACATTGTGCATTGTGAATTCTCTTTAATGAGGTAAAATAGCTAGTGTTTTTGTTGCTGTAGCATTCTTTTTTTCAAAAAAACATGTCATAAGCCAGTCTACAGTAAAATTTAGAGAAAAATAGAATCCTGCCCCCCATCCCCAATAGAATAAATTTCTCAAGGACAGGAATTGTATGATCCAGGTGTTAGTGGCTTTACCACCAAGGCAGGGTCTGGTATCAGAAGAAAAACATTCACAAAAACTTGTTTTAATGAATAATTTGCTTTGTGATGATACATTAAAGATAATTGTCTGGGGATCAGGATGGAGCCTAATGGTAGAGTGCATGCTTGGGGTGTCTGAGGCCCTCAGCCTCATCCCTGGCCTGGCAAAAATGTTTTCTTCCTAAATCTCTAAAGTCAAGTTGAAGATTTTTATTAATTCTAAGTGCAATAAACTTTAAAAAATAAGTTATAAGTTATATGCTGGTTTCTTTAACAGTGAGCTCCTAAGTTGAGCCTATCATATTCTCCTGAACATGTAACCATTTGTGAGATTTTCTCCAATTTGGTAAGAGACTTACCATGTTGATTCAGTCCCCTGGTCGGACTTGTGTTTGGGTACCTGGGCAGAGTCCCATCACTCAGATGTCACCACCAAACAGTGGGATGGTGTCAGAAGTTAGTCATTTGACTTGAAGCCACCTGTGCCCTCTTGTGGAGCCAGCTTACCTCATGGGTTTCTGTTACTCTCCTTCATTATTTATGTCTATTTCTCTTAATATTGTGGTTCATTCAGCCATTCATTTGGTGAAAGGTTGACCCTCTAACATGCTACTAAAGAAACAAATAGAATCTTAATTCACATCCAACTATGAAGGTAGGCTTTGTACCGGTGATTCTTGTCTGCAGCTCCAGCAGTGTGTGCTGCTTGCTTTGGTACAGTTACGTACATGCACCTGTCCATATTGTACAGTTCAGCCTTGGCATTTACATAGCAATACTGCTACCACCACCACCCCCCAGGCAAGACAGAACATGTCCTTCACCAGGGCATGCATTGTCTCCCCCTGCAGTCTCCCACCCACCCCCCAGCCTCAGATAGCACTGATCTACTCCATCCCTGGGGATTAATTTTGTCTGTTCTAGAATTTCATGTAAATTAAATCAGATGAGACATACTCATGTGTTGAGCTTTTTTTTTTAGCTTAACATGTTTTTACACGTGTTCTGTAATAGTTCATTCCTTTTAATTGATGAGTATTATTCCTATTATGCCATTATACTAAATAATGTACTACTGTTGGCTAATCTGTGTATCTGTTGGTGGCTATTTGGGGTATTTACAGTGTGGAGATATTTTGAATAAAGCTACTACAGACATTTGTGAATGGATCCTTCTGTGGACCTGTGTTTTTATTTCATTTTATTGTTGTTTTGTTTCTCTCTCTCTCTCTCTCTCTCTCTCTCTCTCTCTCTCTTTCTTTCTTTCTTTGTTTCTGGAGACAAGGTTTCTCTGTGAAGCCTTAGCTGTCCTTTCACTTCCTTAATGTCTTATAAGGAAAAAATGTTGAATTTAGGTTAATAGCAGCTTAACAGCTTTTGTCTTTCCTTGTTACTGCATTTCATGTTCATCCTAAGGCATCTTCACCTCCCCCAAAGTATGCCTAGACATCGTGGTAAGGTTTTATTGTTATTTGGGGTTTTTTGTTTTGACAAGATCAAGATCTCACTGTGTGGCCCTCACTTCCTTTCCCCTTCCCTTGTGATGGTTCAAAGTTCGTTTCATTTCATGGCTGTGACTAAGGTGAGGCACATTCTCCTGCATTAGGGGTGTGACCAGAAGTTTCATTTCAGTCCCTGGTCATGTTGTTTTGTTTGGACTCTGGTCAGGCAAAAGATCATGCCAGGGAGCCTGAAGGGGGCAAAGCTGCTCACCTCACTGTGGCATAAAAGCACAGAGTGAATTCAGTCATTTTAATGACTGAAGACTTTTTAAGTTGTCAGTTATTTTCTTTAGATTTGATGTATTGTTTTTCAAGAAATTTGTTCTCTTTGTTTAATGTGTGTGTATGTGTGTGTATTATCAATAGATAGTTGGTTTGTATGCCTATTTTATATATCTGTAAACTCAAAGCCACATAAGGATTCCCCTGCCCTCCCGAGGACCCTTACTCATCTCTGAGGATTGAATGAAACATTCAAGACACCATTCAGGAGGTAAGATCAGGTCTCAGCTCCAGAACTGAGAAATAAACTTTTCTTACAGCAAACTAAGACATGTGCCCATGATCTTAGAACTTGGAAGGTAGAGGCAGGAGGATAAGGCATTCAAGGTCATCCTTTGCTATATATGGAGTTTAGGGCTAACCTGGTATACGTGAGACGATCTCTCAAATAAAACTACAACAAAACAGCCAACACTCCAGATATATTGTGGCAGGAACACAAATAGACTAAGGTTCTAATTTCAAGATACACTGATTTTTTTTTAGTTGCTTGTCTTCGGGCTCATCAATTTTGCTCTCCTCCCTTCTAATTATTTTACCTTTCAATTGCTGATTTCTCTCTTTTCTCTTTAAAATGGAGGCTCAGATCCCTGCTTTAATATCCCCCCTCCACACACCCCCCCATCTGCAACAAAGTTCTCTCAGGACTGCTGTGACTATGATTCACACATTTTTGTTCTTGACTTGAGATTTCCATTTCCATGAGATTTCTCTTTTCGCCCAGAGGTATGGTGGTCATGAGTTGCTTCCTCATCTGAGCCTTGGCTGTGGCTCCCAAAGTGGCTTTTCTGATGGTACCCTGTAGTGGACATGTGGCAGTGGCCCTCTTTAGCTCTCAGGAAGATGAAGTTGTTTAGAAAACACTCCACCTGACCGATGTTGACACATCACTTGGCTGACCCCACCTCACCACATTTCCTGTCTCATCCTCTCCAGCTTCTCCAAATTCTGGCCTTGCTCTGTGTGACACTGCAACAGTGAAGGGCCCTGAGGTCTAAAGAGGAGTAGTCTCACCTCAAAGTTGAGGTTTACTGACACCAGAGAGATGACTCAGGTTAAGAGTTCTTGCTGTTCTTCCAGAGAAATGAAGTCCAGTTCCCGCCACCAACGTCAGGCTACTTACAACTGCCTGGAACTTCAGCTCTGGGAGATCTGTGGGCACTTGCAAAGGAATGCTCACACACACAAATTTTAAAAAGTTAAAAATATTGTATGTTGAGGCTTTGGGGATGATTAAGGATCTGCCCAACTAAATCCCAAGCTCCAGCTTGTCTCCTCGTGTTCATCTTTTCTTCCTGTACTGCTCTGTGTCTCTGGCTCCTAACTTACAGCCAGGAGCTTTGACTTGTCCTGGTCAATCCTCACTGCACTGACCCACACTGATGAAGAGTTTCACACTGAAACAGACTCCAGAGGTCAGTACCTTCAGAGCTGTTCCGCCCTGTATTATGGGTTCTCTGACCTGATTGAACTTAAAGTCATCCACACTTTTTCCAAGTAAAAGGGATGTTGCATGTTCCTGATAGGCAACAGCAAAAACAGTTACAACTCACCTATGAGCCTGTGAGATGGCTCCCTGGATAAAGATGCTTGCTACCAGGCATGATGACCTGAAACTAGTATCTAAGTGATGGAAGGAAATAATCAACTCTCATGAGTTGGCCCCTGAGATAGACAGACAGAAACACACACACACACACACACACACACACACACACACACACACACACACACACACACACAGTTTTAAGAACCCCTATAGATGTCTGTAAAGTGCTTTATAGGGAAAGCTTATGTAACACTTCAATGGAAACAAAATGACAGAGTTGGTTGGTTGCTCCTAAGTGTGCTAAGAAGCAACAAATATTTAACTCCTGGTTCAGGGCCTAGTTAAGACACCCCCAAACTCCAAACTTCAGGAACTTTTCTAAACTAGACCCAAAACTCCTGTGATTTACAATCCCAAGCTTTCACAAAACTACCTCCAAGTTAAGTTGTACTGGTAGCAAGTTAGACACTGATCTCACTGTATTTTTTATACTAGAGCTATGGCATTGATTGATGCAGTAGTTTGAATGAGATGACCCCATTAAGTTGCAGGCATTTGAATATTTGGTCCCCAGTTGGTGGATATTTGGTTAAGGTTTAGGATGTGGGACCTGGCTGGAAGAAGTATGTCACTTGGGATAGGCATTGAAGTTTCAAAACACTCAAGTCATTTGGAGCTAGCTCTCTCTGCTTCCTGTTTGTGGATCAAGAAGTGGGGTCTCAGCCACTGCTTGTTGTCGCACTGCTGCCGTGCTCCACAGTGTGATGATAATAGACTCATCCTTCTGGAACTGTAAGCCACAAATAAACCCTTCCTTTTATAAGTTGTCTTGTCCACAGTGTTTTATTATAACAATAGAAACCCTGACTAATACAGTTAGGAAGGGGTAAAATTTAAAAGTGGATAGAGATAGTCTGACAAATTCATATGAAGCTGGGGACACTGCTCACTTCTCTCCCTCAGTGAGAGATTCCTTTGAATGAACAGTGTTTTGAGGTATTACTGTTTAGCCAAAGGAGACATAGCGGAAAGTCCACGTGAGTTCAGATACTGGTTCAGTGCTCATGGTTAGGGACTGAGCATCTCCAACACTGTATGTTAACTCCTGTGTCAAAGGCCCATTTTGTGTGATCATGCATCAGGACACATTGACTTGATGAGGAGAAACACCCGTGTCATCTGACATCAGTCCCAGTAAGTGGTTGCCCTTGCTTCCATATTTAATCTGCTAACCAAGACACCTTTGCCTTTTAAAAATTCAACTCCCCTTAAGGGATGAGAGTATTCAAACTCTGAGCCTCTCTCCTTATGTGAAAATCCCTGACTCAGTTATGGGATGAATCACTAGCATATTAAAAATTCTTTGATGATCTTTTATAGATTCACATCAGGGGAAGTTCATGTGACAAGACCGGATCCATTCTTTAGTATGACATGATGAGTTTCTAAGTTTGAATGGTAACCGTTGAGAAGGTCAGTGTCTTGTAAAGAAATGATGGTTAAGATCTGTTATCAACCTGATAGGCTCTAAAATCACCATGGAGGCAAGCTTCTGAGCATGCCTGAGAGGAAGTGTCTAGATTAGGTTCAATAGGGCAGAAAGACCCCCCCCCCTTAGTTGGCTACACCATTCCCTGGGCTGGGATCTGGAGTAAAGAGAAAATGAGCCAAGCATAGCATTCATGGCTCCCTGCTTCCTTACTGTGGGTATATTATGACCAGCCAGCCTTTCTGTTCCTGTTTCCATATCTTCTCTGATTACTACCACCCCTGTGATGGAATAAGCACCTTGAATTTAAGGCAGAATTAATTTTTCTTCCCTTAAATTGCCACTTGCTCACTGCAATGGAGAAAACTGCTAAACACAGTAACTACACTGATGGAAGCCTGGCTTCTATTGTGATCTTGGTTTGCAGTGCTACAACTGTGGGAAAAGCAGTCCCTCAGGAGTGAGCTTACTGAATGGCTATGGGTAATCCCTTCAGGATTCCATCCCTAGTTCCATTCTATAGGAAGCTCAGGAGTTTTTCATGCTTCTGGGTTAGGAACTGGCTGGGAAGTTCCCATTCCTTTTGGAGAGTCTAGCATCCAGGTACTTGAATAGTAGCTAGAAGTATGTATGTGGGGGCAGGAAAAGGCCTATGTTGGGCCCAGGTGTAGATCTTGGAGAGTGTGAATTCAAGTTCCCAGGGGCGAAAGCCAAGGCGGTGCTAGAGAGTCAATCGTACCAGCTCACCGACTGATTACAACTTCTGGGTTGTGGAGAGCTGAATGTTACCAGTCCAAACCAGGTAATCTTGGGCTATCTTTAACCTCCTTAACACCTCTTCATTGCTTATCTATATAACATGGAAATAGACCACTAGCTTCTACCAGCCCTCAGGACAGGAATGTCATCAGAAATTAGAGTTCTCTAAAACAGATTTCCTCACTTGGCTGTGACATACTTATCTGATGTTTCCACCAACATATTCTAAAAGTTCTTAAATTATGACTTTCTTTGTTCTGTTGCTATGGAAACTTTACAAAACTGTTGCCACATTGGGGCACAGTATTTGTGGTAACATGAATCTGTGTTCTTGGACCATAGTCACTTATATTTAGTTCCAAAATAAATTATCATTCTCTTTGAGGTGAGAGCTAGGAATGAAGACTCCGAGTGGTGTGGAAGTGTTTCCCCTCTTCCTCTTGTCTTCCTTCTCAATCAATCAGCCATCAAATGGGGTCAAGACAGGAAGACATCCATGTTAGAGAACCTGGTGTGGGAACCACAGCCCCAATATACTGATCAGAACTTTAAACTCCATGTATCCTTCAGTATACTCTATCCATTCCCA